CCGGCCGGGCTCAGTGAGTGTCCCCGCAGGTGCCGCTGCCGCCCCGACGGGGCTGCGCTGCCGAACTTGGCATCGCGGCGCGCCGGGCGGACGAGGCAGCGTTCGTCGCCCGTCCACCTGTGCGTTCATGTGCGCGGCGCGTCCCGACCCCGCAGCGTAAACACCGCGCCGAGCTGTTTGCGCACCGGGGAGGGCGAGCGGCCGGCTTGGAAGTTAACGCTGGAAAAGGAGCTTTTTCCTCCGGCAGGGTCTGCCCGGAATTTTTAACTTTCTGGAGGGGAAACTTGCAGCGTTGGCTTGAATTTTGTTTTCCTGTTAGTATCCGAGCAGCGCTTTCTGCCGCCGTAGTACGAGCTGTGCCGGCTGAGTCGCCCGGGGAGGGCACGGGGATCGCCCCCCTCTGCATCGCCGCTTTGCTGTGAATAAAACATTAAAAGGAAATTTCTTCAGTCTTTGTAACTTCGCTTTTTTTTTTTTTTTTTTTTTATTTTTTTTCTTTTTTTTTTTTTCCCTTCCCTCCCCGGTGATGCAAAATTTATGCTGTTTGGGCGGTATTGGTACAACAGCTCCTCGTTCTCACAATTTAGTTTATATTTTGGGGCTTTATGTAACAGAGAGAAGGAAGGATACGTTTGGTGAGAAGCGAAGGGAGCGCGTCCTGGCTTTGCCTGCGTGATTGGGCTTCGAAGGCGGTTTTTGATCTTGGGGCACAGTTTACTTTTTCGCTGTGTGATTGTTTCCTAACCCTCGTAATCGGGAGGGGTGAAATGCTGGGCTGCTGCTTTCTTTTATATATTCTCTTCCTGCGGTTTGAATCGGTAAATCCCCGCTGAAGAAGAATGGCACTCCTCGTTTCACAGGCGCTGCTTCATTGTACCTTTTTGCCTGCCTCCCTGTTTACACGCAGCCTGACTGTTCGCCTCACTTGATACTTTTCTGTCTCACACTTTTCCCGTAGCCTGCCCCGGTTTTGGGCAGCAGCCGTCCCCACTGGGATGCTCCCGTGCTCTCCAGCAATCCTTCCCACCGCTCGGACCGGGCTGTTGGCGTGGACGATCGCAAAGACTCTCCATTGCTGGATTTATACTCCAGTGAAAATAAAAAGCATCGGTCCAGGGTTGCTCGCCTGCCTTCTTGCCGTCTCTGGGGAAGCCTGCTGGATCTGTGCTGCTGAAAAGCCTCTGTGCCCTGCACTGTGCAAAACAGAAAATCCGTTTATTAAAATAGTAGGGTTGGAGTGACATTTCCTATTTGGAGGGGTTTAGGCACTGCTGTGGGCACTGGCAGCTCGTAATGATTGAGCCTTTCTACTTGGTGCTTGCTGGAATAGCAAGGCAGGCTGGACAGGGAGGCTGTGATTTGCAAGTATTTAGGACCCCCCAGAATTTGGGCTCTCTTGGCTTTTGGGGGCTATAGGATGGGGCTCTGGCTGCTGCCCTCATTTTCAGTGCATCGAGAGAGATGGTGATGCCGTTGCTCATGCAAGCAAGCTGTTGGCCAAACTTTTGATTTCCTTATCCCATGTGTGTTGGTTAAGATATAAATATGTAAACACGTTGGGGTTTTCTGATTTCTTCTGTCTCCGTGCTTGGGCATATAATGTTTGCAGTGCACAGCTCAGTCGGGGTCACGTGAGCCAAACAGCTTGGTCTGTTACCTGGAAGCTGGCGAGTCTTTGTTCTGCTTGAAAATAGCTGATAAATTAAGTCCATTTTCTGATATGTGGGGTTGGTGAGTTGTTAAATAATTACAGCCAAATTAACTTAGTCCTGTTTGAAGTATTCAGCTGTTTTGAGAATAAATGTACTTAAAATATTTTTGCAGCTCATTTTTTTCTTTTTTTTTATTTCCTCTTTTTTTTTTTTTTTTTTTTTTCCCTTTTTTTCCCCAGTGAGAAGCGTGTTCAGGCTGATGTATGGGCAGTCTTTTAATTTCATGCCTTTACTCTTCTCTGGGCCATGTCGGATGGGACATGCCACACGCCTTCAAAGAGAATCAGCTCCTCTCCTTTGCTACAGCCCTCCTTGGCACCTCTCCCGTTTATTCCGCCTCGATGTCTATTTGATGGTTAAAATTAGGCTGAGCTCTGAGTGCCTTTGCAAAGGCACGATAAATATTGACTGGGAGTTTCAGCCTGTCACTGCCATCAGAGGGCCTGGCCCCTGCACGGGGGTTGTTCTGTCTGGGTCTTTTTACCAAGGGGGTGGGTGCTGTTTTGGGCTCGGCGCCCTGCTGGGTGTCCCTGCTGTACCATGCAGCCCTCCAGGTGTCTGTGGGGACATCTCTTCACGGTAGCCAGGGCAGCCTGCTGCTGTCCCTGCGTGTCCCCTGAGAGCACTGCCAGCCAGCGCTGCTGCAGGGCAGAGAAAACTGGTTCTGGAGCTGTTTTGGGGGCATCCCCTGGGATCCTGGGGCAGCTCTGGCACGGGGTTGCACCACGCAGGCTGTGTGCCTGCACCTGCTCTGCTGAGACCGGCGCTGCTGAGTGCCCCAGTGACTGAGTTGTGACTTTGCTTTTAAAAAAAAGAGATGGTAATTGATGTTTATGTGTATGGAATTTGGCACTAGGAGCTGTGCTTGTAATTAACATGAAAACAGTAATAATAAAGACCTGAAATACATGCCTTATGAGTAAAGCAAATGAGACTTGGCAGTGGCAGCTCACGAAGTGGGGAGCCTTTCTCCTGAGTCTGCATGCTAGTGAAGTGGGATGGGTAGCAGAGAGCACGTTTGGTCCATGGCAGCAAAAGGCTCAGCACCCTGTGGGTGCTCCCAGCTGAACCCCAAGAACTGCATTGCACTCCTGACCGTAATGCCAAGTTGTTCTGAAGTGTGCTCTCAGTTTTCTAGCAGGACATTAGCCACACACCTTAATCGAATTAAGTTTTCAGGGGATTTTAGTTTGGTTGGGTTTTTTTCTGTTGTTTTGTTTTTTAATTAAATTTAAGCAAACCACAGCACGTTGACTCACTCCCTATCTGGAAGCACAGCCTATGATCCAGAGCATGCACATCTTCCAAAGGCTTTTTGTGAAACACCTTTCTGTGAGTCACTGGCCAGAGCTGGGGAGCTGCTGGGATGGGTGCTGAGCATTTCCTGGGCAGTGGCGGTGGGGTGTGCGGGGTGGCCAGCCCGCAGCCTGCCTCTGTGAGCATCTCTAGGTGGCAGCAGCCCCCAGGAGCTCCCGGCATGAGGGAGGACAAACGCCCGGAGCTGGGGCTGTGATTTCCCAGGCTCTGATCCTTCTGCTCAGTTCTCCTCCACACCCTTTTCCCAGGCCGAGGAGCAGCTTTTAGGGGGCTAGCAGGGAATTGGCTGTCCCTGGAGTTCTGTCCCCACCTCTTGTGCCCCTGCATGTGTGACAGGGGAGGTGTCAAAACACACTGGGAGAGTCACCCAAACACTGAAGTGCTTAATATGAGCAACCATAGGAGCTCAGGTGACTTGTTCTGGAGGACCCGTTAAGATAAACAGTAAGTCACTACCAAACTGATGATTGGGTGCTGAAGGTGAATGAGCTCAAACTGGGAATAAAGTGCTTGGTCCTAATAGCGTAGGAACTGTTGTGGTAAACTAGGAAAGAAAATAGAAGATATAGGGTCACTTAGCAGTACAGGCTCAGATTAGATGGTCCTTCTGCACTATGTATACTTGCTCAAAAAGATGATGTAGCCCATAGGTTTAATTTTTTTCTCTGTTTTTGTATGACAGCAACCCCTCTCCTGATTCCCTTAGGACAATAAGAATGAGCCAGTACCTGGTGGTTGGTGTGGGGCAGTAGGATGGTTCCCTGGAAACTTCTGAACTTCGTGTCCTGCCTGTGCAGATTGGAGTTTAGTACTGTGCAACCAGGCATTTGTGCTCTTAAAACCATGGGCTTGTGATGGCAGCTCCGTGGAAACAGCTAAGCCAGGTCTGCCCTTGTGGGCTCTACTCACTCTCAATGCACTGAGGCAATTTTGCTGGGAAAGGAGAGAGGGCTTGTTCCTGGGATTTGGTTTTTTACTGTGGCAGGAGCGAAGGCAGGATGAGGTGAGTGCAGCTGGGCTGTTTCCTGTGAATCACTTGTGTGCTGACAAGTCCTCAGGGTGTGCAACAGGCTCCGATTTTCACTGACTTAAAGGTTTTGCTTTTGCAAACAAGTGCAGGCTGCTGGCGGATTTTATGTGTGCCCACGTAGCCAAAGCTGAATTATCCCATGGGAGTACTGCAATCTGCCAGAAAGATTCATCATTTCAGCAACTTTAGTTAATGTTTGTTTAGCGACTTCTTGGTTTGGAGGAGCACTTTAAGCCGTGCACGGTGGCAGTTCCCTTGTGATGAGCTGTGTGTCCACGTGATAAATGGTCTCATTTCTACTGTCCGCTACCTCTGCTGGGCATATGGGCACATGCCAAGCCTCCTGAAGTCTTTGAACAGCTGCTGCTATATATATCTCCTTATTTTCTTTTTTTTTCCCCAGCCTGCCAGGGAAACTTGTCCTTCTTCCCACTTTGCATAAAGGGTGTGCAAAGTCCAGTACAGATGAATATTTGCTTGTGCATCAGTGGTTCGTGAGGGTCTGATGTTGGCTGATGTTTGGGCAGCAAAGTCAATAATTCAAACTGCAGGTGCACATACTGGTCACACCATAAACTTGTGCTGAATACCAAGAATATAAATATATATACGAGGAATAGAAATTCATACTGCAAAGAGTATCAAAAAATATTTTTCTTTTCCGGTGGTAACTGCTTTTAGTTTCCATGCCTGAAGCCTATAAACTCTAGTTCCTGACAAAGCAGGAGGTAGGAAAATCAAGTAAATAAAGGCAAAGTAAGTTTCAGACTTATAGCAGATACAGTTCTTTTTGATCTATAAAAAAATGATCAGTCATTGTATAATGTTCCTAAAGTCCTTTTTAGTGACTTCTAAGATTATACTCGTGTTATGTTGAGCTCCTTTCTCTCCTAATGTCTGTGCAGCTACACATACAATAACTGAATGGGCATTTATAACTTGGATCTTTCTTAATCTCCTAATAAGTCAGCAGTGCAACGTGGGCTCTTGTCACATGGTGACATGCTCCTGTGTCTCATCACCAGCTGCTGTTGAGCTTACAGAAATTCAGAGCTGGCAGAAATCTTCCAAAATCCCACTGGGGACCAACCCAAGCTCAGAGCAGTGCTGGCTGTGGTACTGAGCTGCCCCATGGAGGCAGGTCTCCCTCCTAGGCTGTGTTCCTAGAGGAGCTGCAGAGGAAGCTGGGCTGTGGGACATGCTGCTGACGGGCTTTAAATTCATGTGGAGAGGCTACTGTGGCACTGCAAGGCATTATGTGACCTTCGCCTGCAGCTGCTTGACTAAACTGCCTAATAAATGTCTATTAAATAGAGTTGTGGTACCTGACCTCTCTCTTTTTCTCAC